CCTCCTTGTTTCTCACTTTTTACAACATGTGTACTTGTAAAAAAGCCAAAACAACAAATCTCTGAGTCATTGAACTACGTCCGACCTGATTCCGAAAGGATACGTAGGCAGCCTTACCCTGGGTTCGGTCCCATCAGAACAAAAAATCCATATTCCCAATACTCCAAAACCGGGGCAGAATTTTGTTTTATTTCACGGTTTTTCTGTAAAAACGGTTCCAAAAGTTGTAATTCAGTTCAAGGTTCATTTCGCCTTTTTACCTTTCAAGAACTTCTGATCGATGTTTTTTTTTTTTTTGAGAATGTTTGAAGTCCCCATGCCAAAGGCGTTGGTTAACCTCCCTCCTGCAGTATCTTATTCAAAAAAACAAAAGAAGAAGAAAAAGAAAAAAAAAGAAAAAAAAAAGAGAAAAAGAAATGAGAGAGTCTTATTAGTGAAAACCCGTACGGGCACTATAAGGCGACAATGAGCAGAGAAATGGGAGAGTCTTATTGGTGAAAACCCATATGGGCACCATAAGGCGACGGTTAGTAGAGAAATGAGAGAAGTTAGTTAGCGAAAACCTGCAAAAGGCGCTACTAGCCGAATGAGGGTCTTTGATTCTCCGGCATGAGCACAACCAAGACAAATTCAAGATGAACGTTTGCGGCGGATTTTGAGAATTAGACAGCTTAGACGGATCAGGCGTCCAGTCCAAAATGCATGTCATGATTCATTGAAGTCGGCACATACCTCCAGATAAGTCTCCCTATTCCTTTCCTCGAAAGGGACATCTTCTGTTTAAACACTGTTCTTTTTCACTTTCAATTATTATTCCGTTTTTACCATAATTTTTCTTTGAGTCCCTTTCGGTCTAATCCTGCATCAAAAGCAAAACAAAGAAATGGCTGCAAAACTAGCTACAATTCCCCTGTAATATCGAGCACAATTTGGGGCATATATGGCATTGGCAAAGGCAAGAATCCATCTGAGATCTCATTTGATAAAGCAAACAAAGTGTTTTAAAGAAACTAAAAAGTCGCATGAGCAGGACCTGCTTCATGAGAAAGTTGATAAGCACTACGGACACAAACTGATACTGGGTGCAAGACAACTGAGTTTGATTTTAAAGAAAAAAATGCATTGCCTTAGAGACAAGGGTAGTGGTACCATGGACATCTGGGTATGAAACAGTTGGGGGAAATAATGTAAATCCAAGGTCTCTAGAAAATGATACAGAGCAGCCGAGCATCTCGGTACCACGCTGACAGAATTTGTTCTTCGATAGCAGTGGCCGTGAATCAAGCTACTCAAGGCATCAAGGGATCAAGGCCACAAACCAACCACCACTTTGAAAACTCATAAATCTTTCTTTGTTTGAAGCAAGAACAAAGCGGTGCAGAATGGAAATTCTAAAAGATGAACGTCACCAAACGTAAGCTTCTTAAAATCTCCATTTTTTCTCTTTTCAGCATGCATCACTATTGTTCACACCTCCCATTTTCGTAGCTTAACTCAGGTAGAATCTTTTCACCTAGGGGATCCAGCTCATAGTTCCGAGTAGAAGTACTCTTCGCTCAGGGTGTTTTACACAGCTTAACTCAGGTAGAATCCTTTCGCCTAGGGGGATCCAGCTCATAGTTCCGAGTAGAAGTACTCTTCGCTCAGGTTATTTCACGCATCTTAACTCAGGTAGAATCTTTTCGCCTAGGGGAATCCAACTCATAGTTCCGAGTAGAAGTACTCTTCGCTCAGGTTGTTTCACACATCTTAACACAGGTAGAATCTTTTCGCCTAAGGGAATCCAACTCATAGTTCCGAGTAGAAGTACTCTTCGCTCAGGGTGTTTTACACAGCTTAACTCAGGTAGAATCCTTTCGTCTAGGGGGATCCAGCTCATAGTTCCGAGTAGAAGTACTCTTCGCTCAGGGTGTTTTACACACCTTAACTCAGGTAGAATCCTTTCGCCTAGGGGAATCCAGTGCATAGTTCCGAGTAGAAGCACTCTTCGCTCAGGGTGTTTTACACAGCTTAACTCAGGTAGAATCCTTTCGCCTAGGGGTATCCGGCTCATAGTCCGAGTAGAAGTACTCTTCACTCGGTGTTTTACACAGCTTAACTCAGGTAGAATCCTTTTGCCTAGGGGGATCGAGCTCGTAGTTCCGAGTAGAAGTACTCTTCACTCAGGGTATTTTACACAGCTTAACCCAGGTAGAATCATTCCGCCTAGGGGGATCCAGCTCATAGTTCCGAGTAGAAGTACTCTTCACTCAGGGTGTTTTACACAGCTTAACTCAGGTAGAATCCTTTCGCCTAGGGGGATCGAGCTCATAGTTCCGAGTAGAAGTACTCTTCACTCAGGGTGTTTTACACAGCTTAACCCAGGTAGAATCATTTCGCCTAGGGGGATCGAGCTCATAGTTCCGAGTAGAAGTACTCTTCACTCAGGGTGTTTTACACAGCTTAACTCAGGTAGAATCCTTTCGCCTAGGGGGATCCAGCTCATAGTTTCGAGTAGAAGTACTCTTCGCTCAGGTTGTTTTATGTAGCTTAACTCAGGTAGAACCGTTTCGCCTAGGGGATTCAACACTTTATCAGTAATACAAGGATACCAACCCATAATTACATTCCTTCCTAGTGGTACAAGGCTCCTACCCCTGGCTACGTTTCCTTTCAGTAATATAGGATACTGTGCTATAATTCCACTGCCTTTGGTAACACAGGGTGCTACCCTGTGGTTGCGTATCCTCACATAGCTAGTTTATATTACTGTCTTTTCCTTATTTCAATAAATTAAATAGTTTGTAGCTTTCTCTAATAACTCACAAAATTTTCCTAGTGCCAGAATGGGGCAGAAAATTTTTGTTTGTTTTGTTCGTCTTTGATGGCTTCGCAGGCTCTGCCGCACAGCCCAAGTGACGATTAAAGCTTGCAGTTTCAGTTTCTCATCAGAAGAAAGAAGTCCTTCGATCACAAGATAGTCGGAGTTAGCTTTGATAACGTGTCGGCAACACAACTTCTCAAGTTTCATTTTCTCGAAATTCTAATCCATAAAGCAAGCAACCGAGATTAAGTCATAATCTCTTCTTTAAAGAGAATCAAGATCCAGTCTAAGCTCAACACAAGAGAGCAAGTCAAGAATCAAGATTTGACTCCAGAAGACACGTAGATAGGAATTTTGTACTC